AATATTCAAACTTTTCCCTGGGAAGAACTTTTGTCATCATATCAGCAACATTATTGTTTGTGTGAATCTTTCTGAGTTGAAACTGCTTGTTCTCTGTCACCAAGCGCAACCAGTGATATCTCAGATTTATATTTTTTGTTCGAGCATGGTACATAGTATTCTTGCTCAAATCTATAGCACTCTGGCTATCACAAAATACTACATGCTCTTTCTGCTTCAATCCCAATTCTTGAAGGAATCTTTTCATCCAAAGTATCTCTTTACCAGCTTCTGTAGCTGCAATGTATTCAGCTTCAGTTGTTGACAAGGCAACACACTTTTGCAATTTTGATTGCCATGATACAACTCCCCCTACAAAAGTGAATAAATACCCTGAAATAGATTTTCTATTATCAAGGTCACCTGCCATGTCTACATCTGTGTATCCCTTCAGAATTGGTTCAGTCTGCCCAAAAGTCAAACACAACTTGGTCGTACCTCTCAGATATTTGAAGATCCACTTAACAGCTTCCCAATGAATCTTGCCTGGATCAGACAAGAATCTACTCACAACACCAACAGCATGAGCAATGTCTGGCCATGTACATACCATTGCATACATCAGTGAACCGACTGCAGAAGAATAAGGAATAGATGACATTTTCTCCTTTTCTTCTTTGGTAGTTGGACAAGATCGTTTACTCAGCTTGAAGTGATTTGCAAGAGGAGTGCTAACTGGTTTAGCATGTTTCATGTTGAACCTTTCAAGCATCCGTTCAACATACTTCTCCTGTGATAACCACAACTTCCCAGCCTTTCTATCACGAGTAATAGCCATACCCAGAATTTGCTTTGCTGGTCCCAAGTCCTTCATGTCAAAGGACTTTGATAACTCCTCTTTTAACCTGTAAATTTTCTCAACATCTTGTCCCAAAATCAGCATATCATCAACATATAACAAAAGGATAATGAAGTTGCCATCAGGGAATAATTTGATGTAGACACATGGATCTGCATTTGTTCTTTGGTAACCATGACTCATCATAAAAGAGTCAAACTTCTTATACCATTGTCTTGGAGCTTGCTTTAGTCCATACAAGCTCTTCTTCAATTTGCAAACCATATGCTCCTTCCCTTGTTCTTCAAAACCTTCTGGCTGATCCATATAAATTTCCTCATGCAAGTCACCATGAAGAAATGCAGTTTTCACATCTAACTGCTCGAGCTCAAGATTCATGCTTGCTGCTAGACCAAGCACAACGCGAATCGAGCTCATCTTTACCATTGGGGAAAATATTTCATCAAAATCAATCCCCTTTTTCTGACTGAGGCCCTTTACCACCAATTGAGCCTTATATTTGACTATCTTGTCACCATCTTTCTTGAGCTTGAACACCCACTTGTTTTTCAGGGTTTTTCTTCCTTTGGGAAGTTCCACAAGCTCATAAGTATTGTTCTTGTGTAGGGATTTCATTTCATCTTGCATGGCCTTCATCCAGTAGTCTTTATCTTTGTGAGACTGCACCTCCTGGAAGTTCTCTGGCTCCCCTTCTTCAGTGATTAGGATATAATCAGAATTGTAGTATCTTGTAGATGGTTTGTGCTCTCTGGTGGACCTTCTTAGCTGAGGTTTTTCCTCTTGTGGCAGGGGTTGCTCCCCTTGCTCATCATTTCCCCCATCTACATTTGCTTCATCTTCTTCAATTGTTGGCTCCTATGTCTCATCTTCTGGTGCTTGCACCTCTTCTTCATTTGTAATTTTTCTTGAAGGAGTTTTTGCCAGTGTTAGATCTTCTACACCCTCTCCAGAGCTTCTTGTAGCTTTTTCTTCCTTCAAATCATTAATTTTCTCATGTTCATGAAACACGACATCTCTACTTCTGACAGTTTTCTTCTTTTCTGGGTCCCATAGTCTATAGCCAAACTCCTCATCACCATATCCAACAAAAATGCATGGAATGGCTTTATCATCCAACTTTGATCTCTGTTCCTTTGGTACGTGCATAAATGCTTTGCACCCGAACACTCTCAAGTGAGAGTATCCAACGTCCTTTCCCGTCCAAGCTTTTTCCGGGATTTCAAAATTCAAAGGAATTGAAGGCGACCAGTTGATCAAATAAACTACTGTGTTGACTGCTTCACCCCAGAATGGCTTAGGTAGAGTTGCCATTCTTAGCATGCATCGAACTTTCTCCACAATGGTACGGTTCATCCGTTCTGCAACACCGTTGTGTTGTGG